CTGGTAAATCGTCATTAACCTAAGGCGAATCAAGTGTAAAACTATTGCATCTGTTCAGAAGAGTTGAATACATGTGATGTATTTCAGCTAATTTCTTCTTTACTCGGTTTTCTTTTTTCAAAATAAGGCTTCAAACTCCCATCTGATCTCAAATACTTCAAACATAGTTGAATCTATGTTTTCTTCGAGAAATAAATTAAATATAGATTTTAAGCTAAAACAAAGATTTTTAATTTTGTTCACCTAATCATGAGCTTATCGCTATCCAGCATTTTCAACTCGAAACGATCAGGTCCTTCTGGGACAAGATCTTCCAGTTCCTCTACATAGACCGGACCAGATAACACCGTACCCACAACGATGCAGATCAGAAGACAGTCAGTCAACATTCTGCCTGGTAAAGTTATTTCATACATGAACAGAGCATATGTAATGAGTTGTTTGCTTAAGATAAGAACACTTAATGTTCAAAAAAGAGGGTCAAAAAGAAAATTTTCTCCATATAGGAAGGAAAAAATAGGAAACGAAACTGATTTTGTCAAATCTTAGCTTAACTCTTGAAGCTAGTGCTATTGCTGCTTTATACTAAAGCTGCTCACAATGTAAATAAAGTCTTAGTCATATTTACCTTAATTGATCTCGAGGCGAACTTTACTTTTTGTCTTAGTTTAACTATGAAAACTGCACACAATAAAGAATTTATGAAAACTGCACACAATAAAGAAGCATTAGTAGTATTTGATGAATAACCATAGAAGCTAAATATAGTATTTTCGTCCAAAGTCTCCCCACAGGTTACAAGCAATACAATTTATTCCAGTGCATTGCCGCTGAAGACAAAACCTTATTGATGCGACGTTTGTAACCCCTCACTAAACCAATGAAGTTTAACCAAGTATTCGCAGGGGCGATCTTGTTGTAGAGGAGCTTGCTTGCTTGCAGTAGATATATGATCTAAATAGTTGCGTGATAATCTAGATACTTCTGTAGGTTGCATTTATTGGGAGTAAATCAATAGCCGCCTAGTAATACAGTCTCGGAAGGGAAATATTAGGTTGGCCAAAAATAATTTCGGTCGAGTTTGCACATTTCTCACAAGTTCTGTACTGGAGTTTTGTGAGCAAGTATAGCATTATTTGAAGGAGCACTTCACGGTAAGTGGTATGTTGTAGCCTCATCTCAATGCGTATCCATTTTAGGGATTTTATAAGCTTTAGAAGATGACCAAAAAATTCGAGCTTCGCTTTTGCATGTTGTACGATTTCAAACAAAGAAAAAGTGCAGCAGAATCGCATCAAACTGTAAACGATGCTTTTGGGGAGGAGATCGTGAACGAACGGCAGGTTCAGATTTGGTTTAAACGTTTTCGAAATGGAGACGGGACCTTAGAAGACGTCTTGTGCGATGACTGTGGACTAAGGGAGATAGTCGAGAAGAATCCAACTCAAACGACACGAGAGGTGGCTGTAAATTTAAATGCGCACATGCCACCATCGAAAACATCTGCGAGCTTTTGGGAAGACGAACAAGGCGGCAAATTGGTGCCGCACTTGCTTAAACCGAAGTTATTTTTTGGTCAACCTAATATTCACGATGTATAATTATGATATATAATATTATGTCATAGTAGGCTTCATTTGCAACTTTTTTTAAAGGTTATTGGATGTTCTGACTTGTTCGTTCTGTTCTCAATGTTCTTAACGCATTTTACCACATTTTGTACATCAGAGCAAGAACAAACGGTTCTCTTTTTTATGTATTTAAAATCTTTTAGATCTTGCGAAAAAAATGAACCCTGATTGATCATATTCTCAGTGACATCACAAAGAAATTACTTCGTCAATTTAATGTTTGCCTTGTGCAAACACATCGAAGTGAGTAATGTTTGTCGATGATTTAACTTTGAAAGGGTTTAGTGCAAGAGGATTGCGAGTATGATTTCTAGAAAAATCGAGCGAACTATGAGTATGGCGGAGCCTTAATTCCATGATTCCAAATTATAGACCTCATGACGACTCGGCAAAGCAGAAGACTTTTACGCAACAAACAAAATCCTTGTCGACCTTAAAATGTTATTGAATGATGCTACGATATGATCTTTTAAAACGTGCTTCTTCCAATTTGTAGAATAACAATCTGTCAAGGAGGTGTGCTGTAATTTGTTTCCAGAAACTTAATTTTGTGTAGATAAATCCCACTGAATACTTCAAAATAGGCAACATCAAAAGTTCTATGGCATTTGATGATGAGGCTATGATACAAAGTGTCTACTTTTTCAGCAGTACGGGAGTACGAAAGATATAATTTCCTTAGATCCACATTAACAACCACTGCGAAGAGGACTGATAACAGAAACTCTATTTTATTTCATTACTGTTACGGAATACCTTTTTTGTGCAATCTTGACAAGAATGAAATGCTATTAAAAGTCAAAATCAAGAGTTTAAGTTTTATTCGAATTTATGGATTTTTCACCAGCTGACCAAAATCTGAATTTTCAGGACAACTTAGCTTACAACCATAGAGCACTAGATAGTATTAAGTGATAGTAAAAGCATTTTCTGGGCTACTCATCAAAGTATTGTCTGGTTCACTCATCGCCATTCTTTTCACCGTTTGCCCCTAAAGCCTTCAAA